CAAAACCCCAAAACCCCAAAACCCCGTCTTAATTTAAAAAATAAAAAAATTATTGAGCTAATCCAGAATTTAATTTTATAATCAAAGTTAAATGCAAAAAAGTATATAGTCATTGAATGACTCATAATTAAAAGCTGAAAGAAAGGGAATTTAAAGTGCATAAGATCAATACTTTTCAAGAAATGAATCAAACTTGAACTTCGAGAAACTGAAGGGAATTAAAGATAATTACTAGGAATAAAGCAGATATATATTTGGCAAGAGAAAATTATCAAACCAATCAAATGCGCCATCAGAAGCTTTATCAATAAGTCATCAGAGTCAATCAAATAATTCAACTCTGTACTAGAGATTTAGTAACATGAAGAAGCAAAGGCAATTAATCTCATCACGATAAGTTGACAGTTTTTACCCTATTTAAGTCATTGTAGATAACAAAGATCTTCATGATAACAGTTTCGAAGATTATTAGGACTCCACGGCTTCGAGGAAATTAAACACCTTCAGTCCAAATAAAATAAATCATATGATCAGCTAAAATGATCTAACTAATAAAGCAAAAAATATAATTCTTCAGCCAAATCTAAAAATAGAAGATCAAAAGGTGTAGCTTGAATCTCTGAAGCGACTTTTTTAGAAAAGACAAGAACTTAAATTAGACTCATAAAGATAAAGTATCTAACTGAAAATATGAGATAGCATATACTAAAATTCCTCTGTTCTCTATCAAGGAATGGATAAGCTCGATACTTAATAATCTGCTATCAATTAATATGACTTGCTCAGAAGATCCTTGAATGACTCAAATATCTCTAAATACAATACTTCCTCTTAAGCGTATTAAAGTGAGCAACAGTACCAATCAAGAGTAAAGAGTGTGAGAGATCTGATCAAGACCTATCGAGTCAAGCAACCATTCTAAATTGATCCTAATATTTCCTACACAGAAATTTAGCAATAAAATGATTGATAAAATACATCCTCAAAAAGTCAAGTTTAAAATAAAAACTCCGAAGAAGTTTATTTCAACAATCCCAATAATAGAGGAAAATCAACTGAGAAATTTGTTCCAAAGCGTAGAATATACTTTCATGATGTGAAACTTAAGAATGAAGGAGACTATTACAAGGCTAATTTGGACTTATTAAAGCAAACAAATTAGAACTTTTATAGTCGAATGAAAAAGAGTGATAACTTGGATTACCTCAAGCTACAAAATAAAAAGAATATTAAGCTACTAATGAGGAGCACAATTTAAAAGATGCTGTTTAAGCAAGTATAGATTTAATAATAAACCAATCTAATGGTAAAATTAGGCTCTTGAATGCACACTTAGCTTTCATGATATATGATTACAAATTTAATAGATTAATTGATATTCTCTAATTTAACGTAATATATCTTAACTTAAGGGGTTTTGGGGTTTTGGGGTTTTGGGG